TGTAAACAGGATGTAGAAGATTGGTGTAGGACATGTAGAGTTTGTGTTGCGAGAAAAGGTCCTTCGGGAAAAGGAAAATCTCCATTACAGATCTTCAATGTCGGTGGGCCATTGGAGAGAGTGCAAATGGACATTCTTGGTCCTCTTCCAGTGTCTTCAGCAGGGAATAAATATCTGCTCGTGATAACAGATTGTTTTACGAAATGGGTGGAGGCTTTTCCGTTAAAAAATATTCGAGCTAAAACCATTTCAGAAATCTTCTTGAATCAGTTTATTTCAAGACATGGGGTCCCGTTAGAAATTCATACGGATCAAGGCAAGAATTTTGAGGCAAAAATTTTTCAGGAATTAATGAGTCTGCTAGGAATTAGGAAAACTAGAATTACCGCTCTGCATCCTCAATCAGACGGACAGGTAGAGCGCCAACACCAAACGATTGCAAACTTTTTAGCAAAATATATTGCTGAAAATCAAAAGGATTGGGATCGTTGGTTCCCTATGTTTTTATTAGTCTATAGGACTTCGAAGCATGAAACCACAGGGATTTCACCAGTCGAATTATATTTCGCTCGAGATCTTCGATTACCGATAGATTTATTACGTGGAAGTTCTCCTGTTGTTGAGGAAACAGATTTTTCGTCTGGGAATTATTTGAATAAAATTAGGCATCAATTGCGTGGTATTCATGAAAAAGTACGGAAGCGAATAGATATTAAATCTTCTCAGACAAAGACCTGGTATGATCGAAAGGCCAGACAAATCCATTCTGATAATGAGCAGAAAGTTTGGCTTTATAATCCTCGAAGAATCAAGGGCAGGACTCCGAAATTTCAAAGCAGTTGGGAGGGCCCATATCGTATCGTGAAAAAACTTAGCGATGTAGTGTATTGTGTTTGTAAGACAGATAGACATAAAAATAAGATTGTTCATACAGATAGGTTAGCGCCTTATCTCGATAGTCAGGAGCCCGGTATCAAATAATTTATTTTCAATTGAAGGAAATATATGGTGTTAATTCCGTTATTGAAAAGTTTCAGATCATGATAATCTTGGCTTCGCGTATCCAGCGCTCGGCGTATTTGGAACTGGCGTTTTTGGTTTGAAACTCAATAGTTTTTTCTACACGTACATTCTAAGTACACCGCGACCTGCCTTAAAGACGGGAAGGCCATTATTTGTTTTCATCTTTCAAC